GTGACCGTCGGTCGCCGATCACTTTTTTGCCTGAAATTCCGCCGGAGGATGATCTGCTCTCTAATGACCTGGGATAGCAGGTCAATTACATGTTGTTGGGCTTCATTACATCAAAATGAATTGTTCATGAGTATAATTACACCTTTAAAAAGTTAGGTAAATTAATTGACTTTTTAATTAAAGTTTGAAGCCTATTTGACCATTTTTCCTAAAAAATTAATTACGAGTGACCATAAGTTTTAAAAAGTCGTGAAATGTGCATAGAACAAAAAAAATCAAATGTGATAACGCGACTCACGGGAGTATGTAACTGTGGAGGTTCAGGAACATTGATTACGGGAAATTTGTTTGTAGGACAAATGACAACTTTAAACTTTTGCCGTAAATAAGGTACATTTGTCAAAACAGTTGTATCTCTATTTTTATTTATTTATTTATTTATTTATTTATTATTATTATTATTTTTTTTTTATATATATTCTTTCAATTTTCAATGGGAAAGCAAGAAAAAAAGAGATTAACCCGGCGGCTCTCCAATCTCGATACACTGTTTAAATGCTAGTTTTGAACATTTATACTTTAGCATGTTTATATTATTATTATTTTCTTACTATATGTTAAAATATGAGGAAATATTAATTTTGGTCCCACGATTATTGGTAAAATGATAGTTTTGGTTCACATGTTTAATTCATACTAATTTTTATCCACGACTATTGTTTTAATATCAATTTTCATCCATGATTATTGTTTTAGTGTCAAAATTCATCACGTCATCACCCCTTCGTTTAAGACATTATTATTAAAGGTATTTTTGTCATTTTCAAATTGAGATCCCAATTTGAGCATAAATAAAGGGATTTAAGCTCTAAGATCGACCCAAATTCGCAGTTCTCCTTCTCAAATTAAGGCGGAATGAGGAGGAGAACTATGAATTGAGATTGATCTTAAGGCTTAAATCCCTTTATTCATGCTCAAATTGGGATCTTAAGTTGATAATGACGAAAATACCCTTACAAATTTCAGATTTTCGCATGTCTCAAAAGGAGGAGTGACCAGCGTGATGAATTTTGGCACGAAAATAATAGTCATAGATGAAAATTGGTACTAAAACGATAGTCGTGGATGAAAATTGAAGGAATTAAACATGTGGACCAAAACTGTCATTTTGCTAATACTTGTGGGACTAAAATTGGTATTTGCTCTTAAAATATTTTTAAAGATAAAGATAAAATAAATCCTTCTACTATTTATGAAATATATTTAGCTTATTAATTATTTTTGAGTTAATTTCATTTTTGGTCCTAGATTTATAGGTGACACTCCACTTTTATACTTTTTTTTTTTTCAAAACATCCTCAACTGGTCATAGTATTATTGTGACATGACCATTTTTGGTCCTTCATTAACAAAATTATTTAAATTTCATAAAATTCAAAGGCATTTAGGTCTACAATTATGATTTTTTTTAATAAAAAATAAAAATATAGCGGGTCATTCCACTTTGTATAAAAAAGATCGAAATATCCATTTATTTAACGAGATTTTAACAATTTTGTTGGCAAAGGACCAAAAATGGTCATGCCACACTAATACTAGGACAAAAAAGGAATGTTATGAAAAAGAAAGACTAAAAGTGGACTGTCATCTATAAATCTAGGATAAAAAATGGAATTAACTCATTTTTTTAAGACAAAAACTCCAAATATATGCTTGAACATGTAAAAAAAAAAAAATACTCCGGTAATTAATATCTTTTGACCTATTATTACCTGTAAATAGTAAGTCAACCGCCATATAAGATGTCATATCATATATTAATCATATTTAGGAATGACAATGTGAGAAAATAGGGTTGGGAGTATACTCTTTGTACATGTTCCTGCGACACTGCCTTGCTCCCCGTCCTCGTCTCTTCATCCCTGTTTCTGCCAGAAAATAGAAACTTCTCCCCATTCTCATTTTCGTGGACAGGAAATTCCTATCCCCGATTAACACTATAGTCAAACTAGTATTTTAGTAAAAGAAAATTATATTCAAGTAAAAAAAATTAAATATTAAATTTATGATGATGTTGGGGGGGGGGGGGGGGGTATCATTGTCCCCATCCTTAAAGATTGTGTAGCGCAAAATATGTTTTTCAAAAAAGTTTTCTTAAAACCACGAATGCAAGAGAGATGATAGGATATAAAATAAAGTACTGAAAATGTAAATGAGACAATATTTTGTAGTGGTTTGAAGGTGATGTAATATTTATACTCCATCCTTTTTCTAATGTCCAAGAAGAATTCACTATAATCAATTCTCTAGTATAATTATAATGAATGATCAAGTGCTTTGATTACAAAGTTATCATTGATCAACATGTTTTTATAGGCAATTCCTACTACTATTTCTCTATCTGCCTACAATAGGGATACAATAATTTTAACACAAAGGTTGAATTTCCAACTAAGAGACTTAAAATGATCTAATTAAGTCTTGATGCACTTGTAATCTCTTTGAACTTAATAGATGGCGATTGAGCTTTTTGAATGCTTGAACTTGTAAATATGAATATATCTTCCGTGTCTCTTATCCATGGCATTCAAGCTATTTTATAGTTGTATCTTCGAATATATATGTCTATTGGAATAAAATAAATTCAAACGCATCCACTTGCCATTAAATATTGTACTCAGATTTGACATGTGTAGGCTACGTGCAATAATTGCTTGCAACTTGTTCTAAAAATCTGACTTTTGTAGTTTACAATAATCATTCCTAAAAAGGCATGTATCCTCATTGGATAATGTGCAAACGTTCAAAAAAACAATAAGGAACAAGCAAAGAATGTTGGTTGAGAAACTCTTCTGCTTATCTACGAAACTCTTATGCTTATCATGCTTGAAAATAAGTTCTACTGCATGCTTGTCGAGAAATTCTTATTGTTGGTTCTTAAAAAGTTGTTAGTAGAAGTCTTGTTGCATAAACCCTTATTGTTCTCAACTTCTATGCTAAGAAGTCTTGTTGTGCTAGTGTAAGCTATACATTATTAGCTTAGACTTGTACTCCTTCACAAAACTCTTGTGGTATGTTTTAGAATCTTGTTGCTTATAAAAATCGTCTTGTCCTCAAGGTTTTGATGCTATAAGTCTTGTTGCTTGATGATTTCAGCAAATACGTCAACTTGAAATCTTCGATGTTTTGAAGTTGTGTTGCTTGTATAGACTTTGATGTTGCTAATCTTTGCTGCTATGACTTCAACATAACATCAACATCTAAGTCTTATTGTGTTAAGTCCTTATACTTAACACTGACGCAATTTTGACTTGACAAAATCATAAACTAAATACATTTTTTTTCCCTAACATGGGAGACAACAATATGGTCATGTATAGATCATATATATATATATATATATATATATATATATATATATATATATATATATATATATATATATATATATATTTTTAATTTTAGTTTGGAGTAATTAAAATATAAATTTAAGATAATTAATATTTTACAAAATAGATAGTTTCGTAATTTTTAGTTAAATATCACAAAATATTTTTCAAAAAATAAATCATACTCTAAAAATTGCTTTTCGAGTTTTCAAATAAATCCCTAAGGGGGCGTTTGGTTCAAGTTATATAAGATAACCAATGTTATATTTGCTTGGGAATATAAGATTCCAATATTTGGTTCAAGTTATGCAATTTTCCCCGAGAATGTAACATAACATCCACATAAGATTTTTTTTTAGCTATTGCAAGGGAATGTGAGATACCTTTCTCTTTTCTTAGTTAATCTCACATCCCCTTGTCTTATTGCTAATTTTGTCATTTTAATCCATTGCCTTAATTAATTATTATTCAAACTCTTAGTAAATTAATTTTAAATCATTTACTTCTATATTTTACCATTGTTATATTTTTTTTTTGAATGCTACTGGTTCTATTACATTGTAGTATCTGTTCATATACCATTGTTATATTTATTTATTTTAATTTTGAAATTTGTTAAAATATATAAAAATAGGTTGATAGTATTCCACTATTCCAGTAAAATAATCATTATAATATTAAAAAAAAATTCAACAAAACAGATTTATATTACATACCTTATTATTTAAACCAAGCACAAAAATCTAATATTCACAGTAATCTAACATTCTCGACAACCTAATATTTCATAATATAATATAACATTATGTGAACAAAATGCCCAAGTGTAACGTTGGGAGAGCTATTCCGGGTTGAATTATCAATTATGCATTCACAAATATTGGTTTTGCAAATAGCTTTATCGCAGAGCTGTGGGGCTTAAGAAAGGGTCTACGGCGGGCAAAGACTAAGGGTTATAGAAGGGTGGTCTTCGAGCTCGACTCAAACTCAGTAGTGGCGGCAATTACAAAAGACATCTCATTAGAAGATTGTGCTTCATCCCTCCTAAAAGATTGCAGATCCCTGATGGATCACATGGACAACATGGTTTTTCAACACACCCTACGTGAGGGCAACCGGTGTGCGGATCACCTAGCGAATCTAGGCCAATCCGCGAACTGGGGTACTTCTTAGCGAATCCATCTCCTCTCGGCCGATGCTTTTGGTACAAGTGCTGTTAAGGTCGGGTAGTGGAGCTCCTCTCATCCCGGTGTAAACGAGTCTTAACTCACCAAAAAAAAAAAAAAAATTATGCATTCACAAGAGTGCAAATTAATATGTATTCCAATTAAATGGGTTTGGAGTAAATCAGACATTGACGGCAAAGTGTCCTGTTTCTTAAAACTGGATTCCATATATACACCACAGAAGCTAGGAATCCAAGGCAAAGAATATTATAGCTGGAGGGCTCTTTTTCTTTTCAAGGACAACATTGTCACAATACCAAATAACCTGTCAGAATTATAGCCACCATTTCCACCGAAAGCAGACTGCAACATTAACCAATTTAATATTTAGCACAACATCTTTTTTAGTACTATATTCATACATACTTTCTCAATCTATTGAAACACAACCTCCCGTTTGGGAGAGCCACATAAATGACATTGAACTACAAGCTGGTTGGTATCTTTAGCACAACAGTCAAAACCTGAAATTTCACAAACAGCTCCCCAGAAATCTTGAATTCTTGAGGCCATTCACACATATAATGGCAGAAAACCAGAATCCAAGAGATCTCCACTGGGTTATGGAGGTAATGAAATCTGGCAATCTCAGCCTGCATAGTGTATCTTTCTACCTTTCCCAGCCAGATTCAGGCTGTCATCAAGAAACAGAAAGTTCCATCAACATTAAGATATCCAAACAAAACCTTCCCCAATTCTCCATCTTTCTTGAACTTCTAACAGCATGCAATGGCACCCACTCTTCCTTAACAAACCTGGAGTTTCAGCAGGTGCAATGGGAGATTGAGCAAGTGAGGAAGCTCGGGTTTCTACTCCAGAACAACTCGGGCGTTAAGCAACTGGTTTTTCGAAGAAACCGGTTCAGCACAGAATGCCTATCCGAGCTATCAGATATTGTGAAGAAGAATGGAGGGATCAAAGAAATCATGGTCTCAGAATCCAGCATTGGCCCAGCTGGGGCTGCTTTTCTCGCTTCAGCTCTCAAGTTCAATGGAGCCTTAGAAGAGTTGCAGATTTGGGAAGACTCCATTGGGTCAAAGGGCGCAGAGGAGCTCTCCAAGATGATAGAAGTGAACTCAACCTTGAAGCTACTCACAATCTTCGACTCGAGATCAATCACCGCAACGCCTCTCGTCTCAGCTGTTCTAGCCAGGAACAGGAGCATGGAAGTCCACGTGTGGAGCGGAGAGAATAACGAGAAAACTTCAAAGGTGGTAGAATTCGTGCCCGAGAACAGCACGCTTAGAATATACCGCCTCAACGTCTCAGGCACCTGCAGGGTCGCTTGTGCCTTGGGGCTTAACTCGACCGTGAAGTCACTTGACATGACGGGAGTGAGGCTCAAGTCTCGTTGGGCGAGGGAATTCCGGTGGGTTCTAGAACAAAACCGGTGCCTCAAGGAAGTGACATTGTCAAAAACAGGCCTGAAAGATAAAGGAGTTGTGTATGTTGCAGCTGGGCTGTTCAAAAACCAAACCCTCCAGAGCTTATATGTTAATGGAAACTGTTTCGGAGGAGTGGGCGTAGAGCATCTACTTTGCCCGCTCACCCGCTTCTCCGCCCTGCAAAATCAAGCAAACATTACTCTCAAGTCAGTAACTTTTGGAGGAAAAAAGACCAAAATTGGTAGAGATGGGCTGGCAGCGATTCTGCAGATGTTAACAACCAACCAAAGCCTTACCCATCTCGGGATTTATGATGACGAGAGTTTAAGACCAGAAGATATATCCAAAATCTTCAGAAGTTTGGAGAGGAATGCTACACTAAGGTGTTTATCTCTGCAAGGCTGCAAAGGCGTCGATGGTGAAACGCTTCTGCAAACAATAATGGACATCTTACAGGTAAATCCTTGGCTCGAGGAGATCGATCTTTCAAGAACACCATTGCAGAGTTCTGGGAAAACAGAAGGAGTGTACCAGAGATTGCACCAGAACGAAAAGTCTGATCCAGAAATCGATTTGCTCAAAGACATGGCCATGACAGTTCCCAAGAGCTGTAGGGTGTTCCTCTGTGGCCAAGAACATGCTGGTAACCATCTAAAATGTTTCTTGAATCAAGCAAAATCCATGGTTCTTGTTGAGTTATAAATATATTGGTTGTATCCCTAAGGGGTTGTGTCACCACTATCACCATCACTATGAATTAAAGAATACCTTCACTCCCGTGAACTTAGGCACATTGTCGAACCACGTAAATCTTGTCTTCTTTACTTTTTGTCAGTATTATTGTTTCTTGTTCTTGTTAATCTCAACAAAATATAAGCTTTTTCTCATTTTGCAGGCAAAAATACACTGGCAAATGCAATATATCAGCAGTTTTCTTCTTCAAAGCTGCCCTACATTGACCAAGTAAGAACTCTTGTGAACCCAATTGAGCAAGCAGTTACTAGACCTGTAGGAATGAAAATAAAAACATTCAAAGACGACGGCACAAAGATCTCGATATGGAACCTAGCGGGTCAGCACGAATTCTATGCACTCCACGACCTCATGTTTCCCGGGCATGGAAGTGCATCATTTTTCTTAGTTGTATGCAGTTTGTTCAGAAAGCCTAACAACCGGGAACAAAAAACCCCGAACGAGATTGAAGAAGATCTGCAGTACTGGCTGAGGTTTATCGTGTCCAACTCGAGAAGAGCATTGCAGCAGTGCATGCTGCCAAATGTGACCGTGGTGCTTACACACTACGACAAAGTCAATCAGGCTTCACCAGATCTACAGGCCACTGTGAATTTAATTCAAAAGCTAAGAGACAAGTTTCATGGTTTTGTTGAGTTCTACCCGACTTTATTCACTCTCGATGCAAGATCATCTGCATCGGTGAGTAAACTCGCCCATCACATCAGGAAAACGAGCAAGACAGTTCTCGAAAGGGTTCCACAAGTTTACGAGCTCTGCAATGAGCTCATACAAATTCTATCAGAGTGGAGAGTGGAGAATCACCACAAGCCAGCAATGAAGTGGAAGGACTTTGCAGATATATGCCAAGTCAAGGTTCCATTTCTAAGAGTTCGATCGAGACTTGATAATACGGAGAAGGTAGAGATGAGGAGAAGGGCGGTGGCTACCTGTCTTCATAACATCGGGGAGGTTATTTACTTTGATGAACTCGGGTTCCTAATCCTGGATTGTGAGTGGTTTTGTGGTGAAGTACTTGGTCAGCTAATGAGATTAGATGTCAGAAAGCATAGTTCAATTGAAAACGGTTTTATCAGCCGAAAACATCTAGAGAGAATTCTTAAAAGTAGCCTAGATAGCCAGATTCCCGGGATGGGATCCAAGGTTTTCGAGAACCTGGAAGCCAGTGATCTTGTGAGAATGATGCTGAAACTAGAACTGTGCTATGAACAAGACCCCTCGGATCCCAATTCACCATTACTATTCCCATGTGTTCTCGAAGAAGGGAGAGGAAGACCACAAAAGTGGCAGATAAACGCACCTGACTGCATTTATGCAGGAAGACACCTCGAGTGTGATGACACAAGCCATATGTTCCTAACACCAGGCTTCTTTCCCCGCTTACAGGCAAGACTTCTCGTTTTTTTTTTTTAGTACTACTGACTCTGTTACAATGCAGTATCTGTTCAAAGCACAAAGAGTCAATATCGCCCTCACTGGGCTCGAACCCACTTCGTGCCACTAGACCACAAGGTCATTGGCATACATTCAAGAACATAGAATAAAAGAAAAGAATCGTTTTTTTTTTCGATCCAGGTACACTTGCACAACAAAATGATAGGATTGAAGAGTCAATATGGAGCAACATACAGCCTCGAGAAGTACCTGATTTCGATGAGCATAAACGGCATCTATGTGCGCATAGAGCTTGGAGGTCAACTGGGATACTACATTGATGTGCTCGCTTGCTCCACGAAGAACCTAACAGAAACTCTCAGACTCTTTCAGCAGCTCATAATACCGTCAATTATGAGCTTATGTCATGGCTTCACATTAACTGAAAACATCCTTCGACCAGAATGTGTGAGAAACCTGACACCCCCGAGATACAGAAAAACGCAATTTCTGGCTGTTCAACATTTGAAGCAGACGTTGCTCTCGGTTCCTGCTGAGGGTATGTATGATTATCAACACACATGGGACGAAGTGGCTGATTCTGGGAAGGCCATATTAAGAGGTGGCTTTGATTTTGCTCGAGACCTCTTATCAGATGATGATTTTCGGGAAGTACTTCACCGCAGGTACCATGATCTATACAATCTTGCTGTAGAGCTTCAAGTCCCACTGGAAAACAACCCGGATCATGCAAGTGCCAGTAATGAAACTGAAAGCGCAGTTGAGCCTTCTTTTGCTGGGATTGCCAAGGGCGTTGAAGCAGTTCTGCAAAGACTAAAGATTATCGAACAAGAAATCAGGGATGTAAAGCAGGAAATTCAAGGACTCAGATACTATGAACACAGGCTCCTGCTCGAGCTGAACCACAAAGTGAACTATTTAGTGAACTATAACGGCCAACTTCAAGAAAGAAAAGTACCAAATATGTTCTACTTTGTGAGAACTGAGAACTTCTCACGGAGATTGGTTACCACCATGATCTCGGGCATGAATGCTCTTAGACTGCACATGTTATGTGAATTCCGGGGTGAAATGCATGTAGTCGAAGATCAGATTGGCTGTGAAATGATGCAGGTTGACAACCGGGCAGTGAAGAGCCTGGCACCCTACATGAAAAAGTTCATGAAACTCGTCACTTTTGCTATGAAAATCGGAGCCCATTTAGCAGCAGGGATGGGAGAAATGATACCCGATTTGAGCAGGGAAGTCGCCCACCTACTCGACTCTCCACTTCTCTATAGCGCAGCAGGTGCAGGAGCAGCTGGAGCAGCGGGTGCAGCCATGGCTGGAGCAGCAGGCACTGCTGCATTTGGACGAGGTGACAGGAACCGAGGATCAAGGGACATTCAACAAGATCTCAGAACAGCACAGCAGTGGGTTTTAGACTTCTTAAGGGACCGGAGATGCTCTACTGGAAAAGATATTGCCGAGAAGTTTGGATTGTGGCGAGTTAGATACCGAGATGATGGCCAAATCGCGTGGATCTGTAGAAGGCACATGCACATGAGAGCAAATGAAGTAATTGAAGTACCAATTTGAAGATATGGGAGACACCTTTGTAGTTCTTTCCAAAAAGCCAAAAACTTTAGTTATGCAATACAGATCTGATGATACACTAATGTTGTATATTTTGAGAACAATAAGGATAGATTTAAGGAAGTAACTAAAAACATCTGCAATGAAACAAAGGTTGTACAACACTACAACATACATGTTATGACAATGGTTCTATCTCTAAAACATTCAACATAAATTAAGTAAAACCACACTTCTTAGAAGACTTCATGTTACTAATAACATCAGTTTCATCCTAATTGCTCGAGTCACTTGTTTGCATAAACCAGTAAAACACAAGCTCAGAAGTCAGAAGAAAGCCCTGCTCCCATAGAACACTCTTGAGCCTGCACTCTTCGGAGTTTGAGATTTCTCCGAAGTTGAATTCCCGGAACTGGTTGTTCCACTATCGATGTCGAGTGGAAGCTTCATCTTTGCCAATGACTCGGTAAATTGCTGCATGCTTTTCATGTACATATCCACAATGTCCTGCTGCACCACCTGTGGCTCTGGCTCGATGTTTACTGTGACAAGTGGCTTCGTTTCTAACTTCTTCTCTTCGGGGCATTCCTTAGGGGGTGAAACGTACTCGTCATTTGGAAACTTCGAACCTTGTGGAGTTGCAGAAGACTGAGAACTTGCGGGAAGTGAAGCCAATGGGGACTCGTTGGTTGACACACTGCTTGGTGGGGAATCTTGCTTTTTATAATGGTGGGAATCCGGTCCAGCTGGAAGAATCTCCTCGACATTAACATCTGAACCGGGCTGATTCTCAGTGTCGGAAGAGACCAAGCTATCTGAGCTTTGGGTTTCTAGGTTCGAACTTTGAATGCCATAATACTCAGAAACCATCAAATCATTTTCACACACTATTTTAGGATCTGGAAACTCAATTTTTTCCATCTCACAAGGTAAGAACTCGGGGACTTGAGTGTCCTGAAGAGTTTTGTCGGTTACTGTAGGCTCGGGCAGAAATGGAATGGAAATGACTTCTGGCGACTCCCCAGTGTACGAGAGGGACAACTTTACAAATCCTGCAGGGGAATGGAAAAGATCGGTTGATGAGAGAGGGAACTCTTGCTCCAACTTCCCATTCTCAACGAGAACCTTGGACAGAGGAACTAAAGCAAAGCCAAGCAATTGATCTTCCAAATAATTCTTCACTCTGCTCATCATCCATATCTCGCACTTGAGAGAACATTCAGTGGTACGGACATTCAGCTGAAGATTGTCATTGAAAACTGGATTTTGCCCACCCCCATTAATAATTTTTGTGGGGAGTGCACTTTCGGGATCACTCGTTAGGCAAAGCTTAGCATAAACATCTTGCTTGTGATATATGCAGATATTATGAATGTCCCTAGCCTGGTGTACATAGACATCTAGAACACCAATGAAATTATCTGCTGCCACATCCCCTTTCCGATCACCAGTGTCCTTTAAGAAGTCAATCTTCTGCTTCTCAGGTTGAGTTAAAAAAGCGGATTCCTTGTATGGTGACACAACAGATTGAGGTGAATCCATGAAAACACACTTGACCTGGGAAATGGGAAAACACAGAAAAAGAAGTTCAAAATTGGGATAAACAAAGAACTCCCATCCAATTTGGGAAAATTCACTTTTCTACTTGTTATTCCCAGGAAACAAAGGCTATAAATAGAAGAGAATCTCAGAAGTTCATCACAATCAAAGGCTAAGAACTAAAGTCAACCACTCAAGAAAAGCCATCAATCAATAAGAACAATATAACTGGCTCATGTCCAAGTTAAACCCAAATTCAATAGCTTTCTAGAAGCAAACCACTTATCCAAACCCTAAATTTAGCTAGAACAAAAAAGACCCAAAGGCTAAACTCCAACAAGAGTCAGAAATACTGTATCAGCATTTACCAAACAAATTAAACAACACATATACATGATAAGCACAACCACCACAGAATCAAGGATCAAAATCAAGAACAACATAAAACCCAAAAATGGAAACTGCCCACTTTAGCTACCTCAAATTCCAGATCTCAACAGAAAGCAGAACTACTAAGAAGCTACCAAATACAAATTAATCAGATAAAGATCACAAAAAGTAAAAACAAATAAAGTACAAAAAGAAACAAAATATCAGCAAAGCATCCACCTTTCCCCGCTTTATCAGCAATAAACGAAGATAGTCAGGAACTGGGGACTGGCGTCTTTTACTGAAGCTCCAACACGAATGATATTCAACTCAAGATCAAGAAATGAACAGACAGATAACTGGAACCCAAGAACCAAAAAAAAAAACAAACAAAAGGCAGTAAAATTAAAGTAGAAGTATATTTTCTTGCCTTGAGCTCCCAAGTGAACTCGAATTTCGTGGAATCTTTAGGTGGAATGGAGGATCCAAGAAAAAGACCCGGTGGGACTGAAGTTCAGAGTTTGCAGGAAATTATGGCAGTGGGATTGATGGTTGTCTTGGACCTCTGTCGTCGAATGTCGAGCCCCCTATACTTTTCTCCCTTTTTTATATTTTAAAAAAACAGTAAAAAACAATAATAAGAAATTTCTATGCAGTATTATACCATATATACTGTATCAAAGTTGAATCTTCAAACTCCAATGTCATCACAGCCGACGAGACGTCGTTTAGTCAAAGCCATTAATATCTGGCGTGAAAAATGATATTTATATATTGATATTATCATTTTAAAAATTGTTTATCATCTCTATCATATATAATCATATATGCCATAATAATATTATCATTGATATTAAGTATAGTAAAAAAATTAACATATACGGAATATAATTATACTTGATATTATTGATACTGGTAATGACCAGACAAATAAATTTTTTATATAATTTATTAATTTTATATAAGTACATACTATCATATTGTGCTTTGGGGATGCCATCAATTGATGGAGAGCAACATAGTATATAACATTATAGAGTTTTTTGCACTTTTAGTTCCACAACTATGGTGTCGCTAATAACTTTGATTTATGATTTTTAAAACTTGTAGAATTGGTGCACGACTATAACTTTCTTAGCAAATTTAGTCCTTTCAGTGTATTTTTTATTCATTTTTTGCCGGAAAATTTTACTCTCAATTTTAACATGGGTAATATTGTCTTTTCCATCTCACAAACTAATGACATAAATAAATAAATAAATAAATAAATAATTAATTAATTAATTTGTTTGTGAGATGGAAAAGACAATATTATCCATATTAAAATGGGGAGTAAAATTTTCCGACAAACATTGGACAGAAAATACATCGGAAGGACCAAATTAAATTTGCTAAGAAAGTCATTGTCGTGGACTAATTTTACAAGTTTTAAAAGTCGTAAATCAAAGTTATTAGTTACACCATAGTCGTGGGATCAAAAGTACAAAAAACTCTGACATTATATTATACAGTAAGAATAGGGGCTTCAACCCAACTGAGGTAGTAAGGCAATAAATTTGTGTAACTCCCAATTACGAACTGTCTATTACCTTCTCAGTTGAGTCAATAATCAAACAAAGTTTACTTAGACTAGTATAAAATACAAAAAAAAAAAAAAAAAAAAAAAAAAAAAAAAAAAAAGAACAAGATTCTCTTTAATTTTTGTCCAAAGAAAAAAATAAAAAGCTCCCATGGATCTTCTCTCTTATCTCTCATCGTCTCTCCTCTCAAACATTAAAAAAAAAAAAAAAAAAAAAACGCACCAAATCTCCCCCTTCCCCCACTAAAGATGCTCTTACAATACTTACAAAGTGACTTTGGCAACCAAATCATGGAAATGAGCCTACATTCTCCTTCATTCTTACGTGAAACATGCGGTGAAATCTGAGTCGTTGATCAAATCTAGATCAATGACTTAAATTAATAAAAAAAAATTTTAAAAAAAAACGCGTATCTTGAAAGATGGCAGAAACAAAGTGTAAAAATAGCGCGCCTTAAGTGTTACAAAGACGCACCTTAAGTGTTAAAATGATCCACCTTAAGTGTTAAAATGATCCACCTTAAGTGTTAAAAATGACGCACTTTAAGTGTTACAAATACACACCTTAATGGATTGTTTGGTTGGATGTAGTTGTAATTCAATTACTGCCTAATTCTTTGGCCACCCGAATTACAGTGTTTGGTTGGAGAGAATTGTAATTCCTCATTTTGTTGAATTACAATTCATATACCCTCCCCATAATTCCTCTTTGTGCTTCAGTAGGTTGAGAAAATAATGATATAAACATAATCAATGGTACTCCCAAAAAAAAAAATAGAATAAGAATAATATCTTAAAATGAATGAAATATGCGCAAAATAGAATAAAAATATATATTGTTGGGTTCATAATGGCGATAAAAATGAGATTATTGAAAAAATATATATATTTAGATGCTTTGTTAGGAAAGAATGAAAGATAGATCGAAAAGGAATGAGACATCAAATAATAAAAATACTTGCACATGCAAAGAACATAAATACGTAAAATAAATAAATATAGATACACATGCATGCACCCAACACATACTATACAAATATAAATATGCGCAGACACGTGTGTTAAAATTAAAGTGTTTTATCTGTGTTATACTCGAAAGATACTATGTTATAGTTAAATGTAAGTACATTAATTTACTTTATATATATATATATATATATATATATATATATATATATATATATATATATTAATGTAAAAAAAAAAAAGACAGTATACACACATACATGTGTATGTGTATGTGTTATTTAATTTACTCATCAACAGTAAATATATTATCTCATAATATTATTGTATAAGTGAGTAAAGGTAAATTGTGTTGCTATAGTTTTAGTACAGAAATCAGAGTGTCCCCTTTTACTGTGACCTGGGCTCATCTTTTATACTATAGACTTATAACGGTTACAATAATTGCACACCGGCCTCCTATTAAGTGTAATGGCTGACTCCTTAGTAATTGTTGTGCGCTCCCTCCATAAGTGCGTTGGATGTCCATAACTCCTCTCTTTGATAATGCGACGCTCTTAATATGTGACCTCTTGTAACTGTTCACTTGTTCTCTGCTCTTGACCGTTACTTTTGACTGTCATCATTGATTTGACGGGTTAGATCAAGTGTACCGAGTCAGACTCAGTACCTTGTCCAATTATCCTGTCACTCATGAATTCTTTTTTAAATTATAAAAAAAATAGTTATTTTGATGAGTTAAGATTTAGGAATAACATTTTTAGTATCAACTGGGTAATTCTAACCAAGTTAATTGGGTAGTTGATTTGGTAACTAGTAACCACAATGTTCCAAGTTTGACTCTCGATTGGAGCTGTAAATTGACTTTCTTAGTTTGAATCAATAAGCTATAGACAACCTAGATTAATTTATCTCTTTTATGATCATTTATTTACTGGAGTCGTGAAGTTGGCTCTCCTCAATGTGCATTAAATGTTAGAAGTTCGAATATTGAATGTTTAATATTTTAAAATATATATTAACCAATATAATAATAATTAATAAGTGAGATGGTGAGATGATATGTTTATCTTGTCAACCCACTATGTGACGAGCAATGTTACAAAATATGTAATTCAGTAGATTAACACGTTTTGACACCTTTAATTGAGAATATGCAAATTTATATATAATTATAGTATGTAACACCAAAATGGGTGAAGATCGAGTATAATGTTGGTTTGGGTTGAGTAGGTGAAGGGAGACAATGGTGTTCAAAAAGTAATGAAGTGCACCATTGAATACTTAAATAACAAAATACAATATTCCATCTTATGGCTTCACGAGCGGACTCTCCAGCGGGAAACCTCACGCCGACGGTGACTCACCGGTTGCCGGAGGACCAAGATCTCTTGGAAAGAAGTACAAAGAAATCCAAAAGAGGACGAGACCAATTGCTGACCACGCTGTTGTCACCAAAGGATGCTTTGGGCCAAGATTCCCCAACTGAATCGAACCAATGGAGAACCCCTTTGGTATCTCCCAGCAACCCGTGGAATCGCAGAATTCCTGATCGAGCACCAGTGGAAGAGATTGATTCCGATGACGACATGGAGGAGGACGGTGTGACTTTTGATTACCCGGTCATAAGGGTGACTAAGGAAGAGAAGGAGAGACTTAGGTGTCCCTGGCGTAGATCGCTAATCGTTAAGGTTCTTGGAAGATCTGTGGGCTATTCCTATCTACTCCAGAGACTTCAGAGGATGTGGAAAACGGAAGCTGCCTTTGAGCTAATAGCCCTAAATCATGACTATTTCTTGGTAAAGTTTGAATCTCTTGCTGATTACGATGCTGTCAAGTTTGGGGGACCTTGGATGGTTCTTGATCACTATCTTACTACACAACAATGGAGACCAAATTTTGACTCTAGATCGGACAAATTGGAGAAAATTCTGGCTTGGATAAGATTCCCTTCACTCCCGATCGAGTACTTCGATGACGATTTTCTCAAGAAGATTGGAGATGTGATAGGGCGTCCATTGAAGATCGACATCACAACAAGCATAGCTTCGATAGGTAAATTCGCAAGAGTTTGTGTTGAATTAGATATCACTAAACCGCTATTGTCTAGGTTTGTCTTGAATTGGACGGAGTGGCCGATTGAATATGAGGGAATCCACCAAATCTGCTTCAAATGTGGTATCTATGGTCATCGCATGGATATGTGTGGTAAGGAAAAATCTGGAGCTGGTGAGGGTGACGAGCAGGATGGAAGCAGACCAGCTACTCAGGGCAATGAGTCCTCGCAACAACTCCCGAAGGAAAAATATGGATCTTGGATGCTGGTAACTAGAAGAGTAAGGAGAAATTTGCCTAGGGCAGCCAATGCTACGGGAAGAAGAAGCCAACAAGTGCCAATTCCGCAAGTCCCTCCGCATGCAAACGTAGCCTCAAATTCCAGATTTGGACCTCTGGATGGTCTGGAGGAGGAAGCAGAGGCTTCTCAGCAGCACCCTCTCCCCAACCAGTCCGAAACCCCCCAGCAGGCGAACACTAACTTACCAAGGATTAGGACAAATTATCGTGGCACTAGGCAACATGTTGAGCAGAGGGAATAAGAGAATGAGCCAAGAAATGTGATTCCGCAGGCACCCCAAAGCCGGCCTCAGCAGAATGCCCGAAGGCCTGGAGGTGCACGAGGAGATAAAGGACCACAACCAAACCGAGCAGCGGCGGAGGCTGAACACACCGTAGTTCGGGGGTCCAGTAGAGATGGAACCATTTCCTCTTACACCGTTTATCGCCTGAACACCACTGAAGTGTTTCCAGGTTCCCCGTCAATGGTAGATTGTGAGAACACATTCAAGGAAGTGCCACCTGATAAATTGAGCGACCCTCCGCCCTTAGTTGTTCCCCAAGATGTAACTATGCAGATGGTCGATGGTCGTGATGACCTGTCAGTTGCTATGGCTGATTCTAGCCTACACCAATAGGTGTGCTCGTTCCTCTCTTTTTCTTTTATATTTTTCATGATTTTTTTTACTTGGAATTGCCAGGGTGCAGCCTCATCTTCCTTTAGGCGTACCCTTAATTACTTGATTCGCTTGCATAAACCGTCCGTGATATGCCTTCTCGAGCCTAAGGTTTCGGGTAACCAGGCTGATAATATTTGCGCATATTTAGGATTTGATGAATGGGTTAGAGTAGAAGCATTAGGTTTTTCGGGGGGTATTTGGATCTTATGGAAATCCTCTATCCTCTTAGAAATTTTGTACACTCATCCACAATTTGTTTGCTTGCAGGTTCAAGACTACGTTGGACATTGGCTGCTCTCTGTGGTCTATGGCAGTCCAACCCTGTCACTTAAAAGAAAACTGTTTGCGGAGTTATCTGGTTCATTCTTTGAACCACAGGGCCCTTGGCTAACGGTTGGTGACTTCAATTCGGTGACATGTCGAGAAGAAGTTAGCAACCCGGAGACCTTCACTTCATCAAGAACTACCGATTTCAATGATTGGATTTTTAGAGAAGGGCTTGTGGACTTAGGATTCACGGGTCCCAAGTTTACATGGACACGCGGTGTTGACACGACCACATTCAGAGGAGCCCGTTTGGATCGTGCCCTTTGTAATTTGGACTGGAGATGTCGCTTCCCAAATGCAGTGGTGCACCACCTCCCAAGAGTTGGTTCGGATCACTCTCCGTTATTAATTAACACTAATCAGCATAGGCAAGGTGATACCTTGGCAAGGTTCAAATTTAACATGGCTTGGCCCACGCACCCTAGCTTCCTAACTTGTGTGCAAGCTACATGGAATGATGATCGGGATCTAATTGAGAACAACATAGCCATGGCAGAAGCATTAACTTTCTGGAACAGAGAAACGTTTGGTAACGTTTTCCAGCGCAAGAGACGTCTTTTAGCAAGATTACAGGGAGTTCAACGCAACCTGTCTTTGGGCTCCAGAATAGACCTCATCAGACTAGATCGCCGACTTCGCAAAGAACTAGAAGAGACCCTCCACCAAGAAGAACTCATCTGGTTCCAGAGATCCCGTGAAGAGTGGATCACATCCGGTGATCGGAACACCCGTTTCTATCACACAGCTACGGCAGTTAAAGCGAATCAGACAAGGGTAAAGTCTCTGAGAGATGAGGAAGGCAATCATCTCGTCGAAGAATCTGCTATTAGACATCACATCAAAGCATATTTCCAGACCCTTTTTGCTATGGACTCCAACTGCTCTGCTCATGCTTTGAAAGAAGGTTTGTTTCCGGCAATAGGGGTCGAGGAGTGGGCAGAAATTAATGCCCCGATTAAGGTGGAAGAAATCAGGAAAGCTCTTTTTGATATGGCACCTTGTAAAGCCCCTGGGCCAGACGGTATTACTGCTGGCTTTTACCAAAAATCTTGGGAGGTTGTACAGGGCAGTCTCATAAAATTTGTAACAGATTTCTTCGAACAAGGTCTTCTACCACCGAGATGTAATGACACGCTCCTATCACTCATCCCAAAGGTCCCGAACCCGGAAAGTATCAAGCAATTTCGCCCCATCGGTTTGTGCAACGTCTCATATAAATTACTTACAAAAATTATGACCATTCGTCTTAAAAATATTTCCAGGAATTTAGTAGGTCCACACCAAACGAGCTTCATTCCGGGGAGACAAATTTCGGACAATATCTTGGTCTATCAAGAGATCTTGAACTCTATGAGAACGAAGAGGGGTAAGCTGGGATGGATGATGCTCAAAGTAGATCTTGAGAAGGCCTACGACAGACTATCATGGGGATTCATTGAAGATACGCTTAAAGACATAGGCTTTAATCTTAACTGGAGAAGAAACATCCTTAGCTGTGTCACAACGTCAAAGCTGGCTGTGCTCTGGAATTCAAGCCAAACAGATTGGTTCTCACCAGGGAGGGGAATTAGACAAGGAGATCCCATCTCTCCTCTCCTTTTTGTGCTATGCATTGAAAGACTAAGCCACATCATCACTGACTCAATAAACTCTGGACGCTGGAAAGGTATTGAGATTACTCGTCATGCGCCTAATCTGTCTCATTTATTCTTTGCAGATGACTTAGTCCTCTTTGGAGAAGCTACGGTCCGTCAAGCCATGGAGATGAAGAACTGCCTAGAGTTATTTTGTGCAAGCTCAGGTCAGAAAATTAGCCCCTCCAAGTCCTCTCTATTCTTTTCCAAGAACACAGATCCTGCCATCCAACAGAGTATCGAACAGGCGATCGGCACACCTAGAGTACAAGATTTGGGAAGATATCTGGGAGTACCTTCTATTCACGGCCGTCTCAAGAGTGATTCTTTTAGTGGAATTTTAGAGAAGATACAAGCCCGTCTAGCTGGCTAGAAAGCGAGATCCTTATCCTTAGCTGGGCGTCATGTGCTGGTTCAATCCGTACTTGCCTCAATACCTTATTTTACCATGCAGACTACCTTGTTACCGGAAGGCGTCACTTCTTCCATCGAAAGATTGATTAGAAATTTCCTGTGGGGCAGCAGCGATGGAACTAAAAAATGTCACCTCTTAAATTGGGATACGGTGACCAATAGCAAATCCAATGGTGGTTTGGGTATTCGCAGTCTCAGACACATGAACCTTGCCTTTCTAGCCAAATTGGGATGGAGGTTGTTTCAAGATGATGATTGTCTTTGGGTTAAGCTGTTCAAAGCCAAGTATGGTGTGACGAATTCAGACTTTCTGTCTTGGCAAGAAAAACGAAACAATTCGAATGCTTGGAGAGGAATACTAAGGACCAAACCTATTCTCCTCAATGGATCAAAGATGACGGTGAGAAATGGTCAAGACACCTTATTTTGGTATGACAAATGGTTAGACAATAGACCTCTTTTAGAAGCAGCTATGGACACTGTTCCCCTGCATGACCGCAGTCGACCGATTGCATCCTACTGGGAGGAGGGTGTTGGATGGCGATGGGATCAACTTGACACACTACTTCATGTGGATATCCTCAGTAAACTGGCAGCCTTCACCCTTGTAGAAGATCCTCAACTAGCAGACATAAAAGGATGGGATAACAAATCCTCTGGGCTTTTTTCAGTGAGCTCTGCCTATGAATTTTCTGTGAACGCAAGTGAGTCGGTTGAAGCGGCTAAGTGGAACAATATCTGGAAGCTTAAGCTGCCTAATCGCATCCGCACCTTCCTTTGGCTTCTTAGGCATGACAAAATCATGACAAACCTGAACAGGATGAGACGCGGATTAACTATCATTGCTACTTGTTGGCTCTGCGAGGGGATAATTGAAGACACTGACCATGTACTACACCTCTGCCCAGCCGCGAAAGAAGTTTGGAATCAGATCTTGCCCGATATTCACAGTAGGTTACAGGGATTAGCTCTAAAAAATTGGGTTGATAAGGGTATCTCGTCTACAGCAAATAATAGAAGGCCATGTAGTGACAATATCACCTTTGCGGTTACTACATGGTGGATTTGGAAGTGGCGCAACGAAGCGATTTTCAATGGAAGTATTAAGCCGCTTAATTCGAAAATCGGCGTCATAAGAGCCCAAGTTGCAGAAATCAACACAGCCTTCGCTAGAATAAAGGGTCCCCACTCAGCTGAGAACGCCATGATTTGGAAGCAATTGTGCTGGGATAAGCCAAGGGAAGGCATCATTAAACTAAATGTGGATGGCTCTACAGTCTCAACCTCACAAACAGTTGGGTGTGGTGGAATCATCAGGGATCACAATGGGAAGTGGATGAAAGGCTTTCTTGCATCCTTTGCATCTTGTACACCATTTGAAACAGAAGCTTGGGCGATTCTAAAAGGTATTCAATTGCTTGCTTCTTTGTCCTATAACCATACCATCATTGAAAGCGACTCTGCTGAGGCGGTGAAGTATATCAACTCGTCTAGATCACCCACAATTGCTGGCCATAATATCCTAGAAGCTTGCAAACGAGAGATTTGTTCTCTTGAACATTGTGAGATAAGATTCATTCCCCGGGAAATTAACTGTGTGGCAGACAGTCTTGCACGCTTAGCTAGAACACAAGGCATCAGTTTTCAAATCTTATCCGACCCCCCTGTAGAAGTCATTCCGGCAATAGAAGACGATGCTGCTGGTTACCCAGTTTGGCGCAACATGTGTAATTCCCCTTAGTGTTTCTTGTACGCTTTTGTGGGTTTCCCCCTTCCATTAAATACAAAAAAAAAATAATAATAACAAAATACAATTCTCACAACAAAACAAAAAAAAAAAAAAAAAAAACAAAAAAAAAAAACAAAAAAAGAAACAAAAAAAAACAAAAAAAACAAAACAAAACAAAACAAAATACCTAAAACGCAGAGTGGGGCGGGGCGGTGGCTTCATGCTCAAGTTTAGTATAGTAAACTCTCATAGCATAATTAATATATATATATATATATATATATATATATATATATATATATATATATAATGGAAATAAATGAAAAAAAAAACTTTCATTCACACTTATATTAATTATTATTATTATAAATTTAGAAAAAAAAATTAGTATCCTAAATTTAATGAATGATGCAATTATATCTTCTCCTAACTAAAAAAATTCTTATTGAACATCCTAAATTGACAAAATAGTGCGATTT